CGGTTATTTGAAATTAAAATTGGGTTTCTTAAAATAATAACTTGATGTTTCTATAATTAATACTATAAAAAAATTTCATGTGCCAAAATTGTGTCTTTGTCACAGGTTGCATGAAATCGTGTTCGTGAATGTTTTATGAGATCTTGTTTTGAAAATATTCAATTAAAAATCATTTTTAATTTTTTGGAGGTATCTTTTAAATATTGATGACGCTTCCGTATCGGTGACTTTTTCTCAATTTGCACCTAAGTATCTTGAAAACAAATTGGTTTCACTCCTTAGTATTGTATCTCGGGATTTTTGTAGTGGAGATATAAAAAATGTTTCGTCTGTATCTGATATGGAGACCTAAGTGTAAGTTATTGCAAAAACCTCACTTAAGAATATTGCGTTTGCACGTTGTGATTTTTGGTGTTGTTTTTTAAAAAGTATTTTCTTTTAAAAATTTTGACTAATTTAATTCTATGTCATCTGTTTGAACCTTTTGTGAACATTGATTATAATGATGTAAAGTGTGATTTTCAATTGTGAATTTTCCAAGTTATGAATTTTTTTTGCTTTGTTAATAATGATCATTTATTTGTCGTTTCTTTTTTACATCTGGAAACACTTCTTAGCGTGGTCCGTTGCTTTTTTGAAATTATTTTGTTTTGATGTTATGACAAAATTGTTTTTTTTTCCGCGTGATGGGTCACTATCGGGCTGTATGCAGATTGTAAGATAGAGTTATCTTCAAAATTATTGTCGTACTGAATCATTCCTTATGAAGTGCTGATAGTGTTTATGTGAAGCTTTCAATATTTTTCATGGATTGATTCCAAATTTGTTTGTTGGTTTTTCATTTTAGTTGGTTTTTATCCGTCGTTTATTTTTGATGGTTGATGCTATCGTTGTTTGGGAATCGGAATAAAGTTTTTTTAAACTTCTTCTGGTTGTTGGTTTAATGTTGTTCTCGTAGGTTTTTGAGTTTACGCATGGATGATTTGTCAGATTTTGAAATTGCGTTACGTTTTCCTTGGGAGCTAAGTTTTGAGATTTGTTTTTGTTTGTAGACAATAGTTTCCTTTTTTGATTGTTTTGTTGATTTAATGTATCCTATTCATTGTTGAAGCAGTGTTTTTACAATGCCGTATTGGGATTCTTGGATAAGACAGTTGTGTTTTGATATTGTATGCTTATTTGCCAAACTGGTTTTTGAGATGAATGTTAAGATGATTGATTGACGCACAATTCCAGTGTTAGTTGTTCTAGTTCCTAAACTAATAGTCCTCAGTGTTTTTATGAGTTTTATCCTATTTTCTCGGGTCCTTTTGTCGTGGCAAGATGAGTTGAGGAGACGGTATCTCAATTCAATAGAAGGATATTTACTGCTCTCAAACTTTGTGGCGTTTTCTACTAATAGGTATGCTCAATCGTACTTGAATGGGTATCGATAGGCGATCTAGAATGGATTAATACTAAAGCGATCTACAAGTCTCAGGCAGAGCGCAAGTAGATAATTAGATTCCTTTTTCAGAAACTTACTATTTCGTAGGTTTGTTAAGGCCTGGGTCAAATAAAAGGTTCGGTTCAAGTGAAGGTTGAATAACCGAATTTCTTTATGTTTAGCTTCTTTTAAATGGTGAGTTTTTTAAGGAAAAATATTCATTTAGTCTTGGGCCATTCAAAAAGACTGTGGATCGATGTTTTACGTGGTTCGACACTAAATTAAAGAACTGAATTGAAATAACTATGAAATTCAACGGATCCAAGGAATGCCTTGATGATCTAATTTTATGAGAGAAATAAAAAAAAGTTAGAGGTTAAAGAACCAAGGAGAAACCTTGATGATCTGGTTGAATTTTTGATTTTTAGATCAAGTAGAAGCCTTGATACCTTGATAAATAAATATAACAATAAGGATTTTAATAGTTAATGATCCAAGAAAGGTCTTGATGATCTTGAATTTTGATTCTGATGAAAATTAAAATTAGGATTGTTTTGGTGAAGAATATGGAATAATGACAAGAAATGACAAGGATCCTCGAGAACAAGATTTTTTCACCAAAGTAGCAGTAAGTTTTTATTATACTAATTATTTTGTTTTTTGTGTTTTAAGAGTTATACTTTTTGATTTAAAAAAATTTATTGTGCGGATTTAAAGTTTAGGGTTGTTACAGTTTTTGTCGACGTCTAGTTGGTAATTATGTTTTTTTTAATATTATATAACATAAAACTTACGGCTTGAAATAAATGAAGTTTACGGCTCTATTTAGTGCAACTCATAAAGTATTATGAAGATTTACTGCAAAATTAGCTTATACTTTTTTTGTCGTTTTCTGCTTTTTTTGCTTGCGAATCAGGTTGTGGTTTTCGTCTTTGAAAATTAAATGCATCATGGTTTTTTTGGGTATTACTTGGAGTTTTTTTATGTATTCGAATTAAAATTTTGTCTTCTTAAAAGAAATATTTGTTTTAAATTGGTTCCAGAGCTGAATAATTTCATATGAATTTCCAGGAGACCAGGATTGTTCAGTGGCGGCTCGAGTAGTTAGAAATTCTTTGACAAGATGTAAGCCAACCTTGTCTTTGAATTATTTCGAAACTCTAATGCACAAAAAATTAGCTCCGACCACTCTCAATAAATTCAGAAGAAACTAAAGCGCATGGTAGGTTTCATCGCATTTTTACATTGAGAGCTGAGAGGTTGTCCGTAAGGATGTAATCAAAAATAGTTTCAGCCATTTGAAAAAGTCTAGAGCCTTTCTTTGATGATACAAAATACGAGTGGATATCCTCAATTTAAATTTTGTAATTTGTTTCCATTCGAAAAATTCATTTCGAATTCCCTCACTAAAACAGTCAATAAGCATGTCCATGTAAAAGAAAGCATTTGACTTGAAAACTGCTTCATTTTTAGTTGGGTGTCAATAAACATCACCAAGTAATTAAAATGCATTTGACTCGTACGCTGCTTCAAGTTTTGTTGGAGGCTATTCTCATGGGCAAAGGAACGAATGGGCAAAAAGTTATGGGCAAAGGACATAATACAAAAACTGTTTTTGGAATACTGCAATCTGAATGGTTGATTTTTATTTCTGCCCAGTAAGTCCTTCGCCTATGAAGGATTCCACCGTTTTGTTATCTCAAATTTGCAATTTTTTAGTAGCGTGCACTTTGACGAATGCTTAATATTGTGAAAGAGCTTCAACAAATCAAGTTGTTTTCAGATTTTTTTTTTGAAAATTTAGGATCAATTTAGTGTCTTCCTTCCCCGAAAGTGATTTAAGGAGAAGAAGGTTAACTAAGTTCTGAGTTCGAATTTTCAGCCAATCAGAAGAGGGCATTTCGCATGCAAGGTTTTGCAAATATTTTTTAAATTCAAAGCTTTGGTGGAAGATCTTAACTTGGCCTATTTGGGGGGGGGGGGGGGTGTCTACTCTAGGCAATATCACATGCCAAAATGCACACATGCTTATCTTTCTGTCCCCAGTAATTTTCAAATTAACTGTTTCATGCTGCTGTTTTCAATTATATTACATCCCGGCACGATGTCCTAAACTTATGTTTTGTTTTTGAAAAACAAACGAGAAAGTGCAGTTGTTCGACCTAAGTTCCGCGGTCGAAAAGCTATTTTAAGTCAACCACAAAGTCGAAACATACCCAATTTCCCCAGAAAAGTCGAGATATTGGTCGGGCACAGTTGAAACATACCTACTTTTGGTCGAGAAAATCGAAGCATAGGTCAAAAATAGTCAAAACATAGTTCGCGTACAATCAAAATATAGGCCGAGCATAATCTTTTTTCTACAGTTTTTCATTTTTCGAAAATTTTTATTAAATTTAAAGAAGAAACTGATTTAAAAAATTTACTCAGTAAAGACCTTCATCAGAACGTTGCAGTTTACAACAAAAATTAGAGGAGATTTACTTACCGCACAACTAGAATTTTTAGATGGAATCTTTTAATTTTTTGAGATTTTAGAGTTCCTGTGGCAGGCAGGAAAAATGAATTTTCAACGACAATTCAGTCTACACCAGTTTTCAGATCAACAGTTCAGTCCAGATTTGTAAAAAAAGATGGAAAGTACAAATTAAAGAAAATAAAATTTTGACGCCAGAGTTTTGCATTGTACTGATTTTTATAGTTTTTTTTTCAATTCAAACACCATCACAAAAAAAATTGTTCGAAAAGCATTTGTGATAATTTCTTTTTCATGTCAGTTGATAGACAAAAATTCGAGAAATTTGAAACACTCCTAGTTTTTGGTCTGAAAAAGTCGAAACACAGGTCGAGCACAGTCAAATTATAGGTTGAGCACAATTGAAGTTCCCTAGATGTTCAAAGTTTTGAATTTTTGTGAAAATTTTAATCATGCTTAACCTCGAAACAGTGCAAAGAATTTGCACAAAAAAAGACGTGCATTAATGCATATATACATACCTTTATACATACACGCATACATACATACATGAGATTGTACGAACAAATCGAGGCAATGGAAACATACAAACTTTGATCGAGACGGTTGAAGTACATCTAATGATCTAATGTTAGGTCGAGCAAATAATATATTTTTTTAAAAAAGTCGGCCGAGACAGTCGAGAAAGTGGAAACATATCGAATTTTGGCCGAGAAACTTGAAGCATATCTGAACTGGGTCGAACAATTTTTTATTGGGTCGAGAAAGTCAAAGATACCAAAATTTGGTCGAGAAAGTCGAAACATAAATCAAGCACATCGACCATGAAGGTCTTAATTTGTTGACGGAGCAACTTTAAGCTTCCGCATGAAAAAATAAGCCCAAATAAGCCTGAAAGTTTTGTTTCAAGAGAAGTGCCATTTTGTCTGGAAAGATTTCTTTGTTTTCTTATTATGGGCTTTTTAAACTACTAACAACTTATTTAACATTTAGTTGACAACCATCATTTTGGGTTAAATGACGATTAAAGTAACTTGGTTATAAATTGACGGTGATGGAAACCTTCATTTGAAAAAGTGACTAATAAAAGACGGAAAAGCAAAACAAAAGGTTTTATTCTAAAATCAACAATCAACATTCAATAATGACCAACTAATTAGTAAAGACGGGACAAGAAAGTTAAATCAAATTATTTCTTATAAGAACAATAACTCTGGGATAATTATCTAACACCTGGGAAGAAATTTAACAGCTAAATACAAGAATATGACGCACTATGTATTGCTTCAATCTAAATGATTTCCGATTTGGTAATGCTTATCAGCCCCCTCTATCAGGGATTTGAGGGAGCGCGCACTAAACAGCAACTTTTTGGACAAAATTTTTCAAAAAGTGCTTAAAATTCGTTTTTTGGCTTCATTTTAAGACTGCATAGAAAAACGAACAAATACCAAATAACGAACTATTAAATTGTAATCAGACCATCATAGCCTGCCGAGGACGGGAGAAGGGGCGATTGCTTCCCCCATTTTTGTTTGCCATTTCCAAATGCTCCTACTCTTTTCCATCAACCCTACATTTTTGCTAAAGGCGACCTAATTTTTTCTAAATGGAAAAGTCGACATTTTTGCCGGCTATTTCATGTCCGTATTACGCGTGATGCACCCTCTAATCTCTAACGTCAGTTTCAATTAGCAACTTGAGGTCATTTGTCTGAAAAAGTGCGAAATGAATCTACGAGAATGATGATGAAGATCTTGGTTTGCTCGGCACTGATTCGCTGTTGCTGCTCTTATTTCTGCTGGTTTCACTTATTGAAGTTATTCTTCCGTTGCAGCTGTTGGTATGATTTGCACGATGGTATGAACAACCAGCCACTCCATTAGCCGATATGCTGAAGTCCTGCTGAACAAGCATACTTTTATAACACCTGTATTTAGCTCCAGTGCGTTGTCCACCTGGAAATGGCAAGTATATGTTGCATTCGTCGTATGGGGGGATTATGTTTGTAGAGGCAGTAATATGAGTGGCGGTGGGGGGCTTGTTGTTGTTATTATTACTAATGTTGCAGCCCATATTAGCTCTTCGTATGTTGTAGACCCTGTCTGGGTTGTTTTGGCACTGATGATGGTGCATGCTATTTATTCTGGCTAGCTGAAGTTGGTTCGTGATCATTCTGGGCCTCTGCATTTTCAGTTCGTTGAACTTGAACTGGCAAATGAGGACAAAAGCGCGTCTGAAATTTTGGTTGAACAGAGTGTAGATTATGGGGTTGAGCATCGAGTTAAGGTATCCTAGCCACTGCACGAAAAGGTTCCAATTCGGTGAGATCTCCACATGCCCTGAAATCAGGCGCGATGAAACATTTTCTCAAGGGAGGGGGAGGTCTAGATTGTAGCCATTATTAAGACCATTTATCCACGGGGGAAAGGACCAACACAAGAGATGTACAGCTCGTCACGGCGAACCGCTGTTGTGCTGCCCCTGTTTAAGAACTACATGCTATTTTTTTGGTTATTTTTCTGGGCTGGGTAATGTTGCTTCACCCCAAGCAACGAGCACGGATCATGGTGGGCCTCGAACATCCGACCTTTCGATTGAGAGGCGGAGACATAACCACTTCACCACCGCCCGAAGTGTTTTGTAATTTTTAAAAAAAATCAACAGTTTTGTCGATTTCTTTTACGTCTACTAAATTGATTCTTCGGGCTGTCCCAGTACAGCATAAATGCCTGTGTTAGGCATTTTTGGCGCGCATGTTGTGAATAGCGCCAAGGTGCGGTAAAATCCCCGTCTTCACTGAATCTGTTTCTGGTTAATTCAGTTTTTAATAAAAATCTGAGAAGAAAAGTAGCCATTTGCGGTGCAGAACCCCATCAGATTAATTAAAGCATAAATCTCAAAAACTTTTAATTAAAATGCGAAAAAATTGAAACCATATTTTTTTCAATTATTATGCAGTTAATGACTTGGTTAGGATATACTTTAAATTGTTGACCAAACTAATTTAAGGCCACTAACTAAATGATTTTCACTTATGATCATCTTTCGTAAATTTATGTGGCCAATTCACAACTAAACATGCGGACAACTAACATGCGATATATTGCGTTCATATAACACGAGTAAGCGTCTCGGATGAAATAATTGGTGACTAGGTCACTACCCATTGCCTAGGAGAGCTTCACGAGTACGAAATGACTCTATTTGATTATCATTGACAGTAAAATTGTCACTGTAATATCAAATGTCCATGTTAAATGATAATGTTCTCGCGTTTTTGGTTTAGAAATGCATTATATTTAATTTTTATCTATCAAACTTGAATGCGGGCAGAGTGTCCCAGGTCATTGTATCGTCCGAAACAAAAGCAAGTTATGAATACCAGCAAATCATTTACATTGGGAAATTCAATTATTACATTTTAACCATGTTATTCAGCTATCTGAAATTTATCTTAAAATCAAATTATAAACAGGTCAGCTTTATTTGAATTTAGTAAACAGGAAATGAAGACAATTTTCAGTTACTAAAAACAAAATTTTTCAAAACAGGCCTTATTTCCTTGCTTAACTGTCTTCAATCAAAAAAAACGACCTGTAAAAATAAAGACAAAGGTTGAAAAAACTACTAAATGAATGCAATTGAATTTGTGCTTCAGAAAAACTTGCTATCTAGATTTCTGCTTAATTTGCCGCATTTGAGGTTTTTAAACTTATGAAACTTCTAGTCAAAGCAATACGAAACTATTGTCTACTCAATTTCCCTAAGTTTTACATGTTACATAAAATTACATGATGTTACATAAAAATAATTTGAAGAAGGGTGAACATGGAACTGTCAGTTTTAAAACAAAATCATAGAAAAAAAGATGTCCGGTCTAAATACAGTGCTATGATTTAAATTATCCGGACAAAACGAACAAAAGTTTAATTTTGAAACACATTTTTCTCAATTTGAGTTAAGATTAGACAAAAAGTGAAGAGCACAAAAATTGCTTAAAATTTCATCAGAATGAATATGGTAGTTTTTTTTTCTCCGGAATTCTCAACCAAAGTTTTACCCCAAAAACTGGTCATTTTGGCTTTTTTCAATTAATCAAGAATTACGCTGAAACTACTTTGTTAATTCATGAGAAAATTATATCACAAGATGCCTTCAAACAAAGTTCAATAAGGGTTAAATCTCCAAAAATTTGCGCATTTTGCTCAGAATTTGTTTTAAGCAAAGATTCTGAGTTTTATATAGTAAAAATAACATTTATTGATATCAAGTAAAAATTTTTTTGTCTTATACAGGTTTTTGCCCTAGCTGAACTTTGTTGGGCTGTGTAGGAGGCTTTTTGTGATATAACTTTCTCAGTGAAACAGTCAAAACAACTGCTGCAAGAAGACGAAAATTTTTAGCAATTTTTCTTGTTCTGAATTTTGATAAAAAATGGAACTTTGATGCTTAAGTGTTTTGTTTTCAATTGTCAGCTACCGACTTTAAAAAAAACTTTTGCTAAAAAATGGTTTTGCAATCTGAAATACCTCGTCCGGTCTCAAATAGAAAACAATGTTTACCTAAAATCAATTTTTGTAATTTTATGGGTGCTCGAAAAATGATAAATAGGTCAATTCGGAATACTTAACAAGAGTAGCGTATTTAGGGGGGGGGGGGGGGGGGGTGGCGGAGTTGCGGACGCTCCTCCCTCAGAGATTTTTTGACCCCCTGCTGACCCCTGCCGACCCAAACCCTTTGAACTAATTTGAGATATCCTTTTTTTGGCTGACTCACCTTAAAATTTTTCTAAAGACAAATTAGGTAAGGCAGCTTGAAGAATCAATCGTTAGATATAACAAAATTGCTCTTATCAGGGCAAATTTTTGAGTGATTGACTGCATAATAGGATTTATGGAGTAGTCTTTCTTTTTTAAAAATTGATGAGTTTAAACAAAAAATGAAAAGTTTTAGAAAAAAAGTAAAATTTTTTAAAGAAAAATCAGTTCGCCACTCTCAATGTCAATTGCAAGTAAATGTTTCGCATATGGCATAAAAATTAAACAGATCAAGGCATTCCTGAAATTGTGTTTGGAGGTTTTCTAGGACAAATTAAATATCCACTTGCGAGTTAATAACACGAATTATTGTACTCGTTGGTTGCCCCTATCTCGTTGGTTGCCCCAATCTTCAAACCCCCATACTCTCTAAGAAAAACGGCTACAGATGAAATGTGTTCTTAAATTTCAGCTCAAGAGAGCAATGCTTCTAAGATGATTTGAAAAGTTTCCGTCAATGTTTTCAAGTTGACTGTTCGAAATTTGTCTGGAGAAAAATCCAAGCAGCACATGAAATTTTCGTTTTTCTTTTTTTATGTTATTACTGCTCCATAAACCTTAAAAGCAGTCAGAACATTCAAGTTTCGTCCTGATACAAGCAGTCTCGTTCAAAAATAGTTCTGCAAAATCTATGCGTTTCGATCTAAAAGCACAAAATAAATAGGCTTACAATTTTTTTTATGGTTTTTGCATTTGTGTAATAATAATCATTTGATTTAACGCTATAACATTTTCTACTTCAAAAAAAGGTTAATTAAAACATTGTTTGCTTTATGTTAAGTTAAGATCCGAAAAATTCGTATTTTCCTCCTATAAATTTTTTGTTGGTTCCTGTTTGGAGAAAAAATTGTTGGGCCGATTCATAAAAACTTATAGCCAGTATTTTAGCTCGGTTAGCCCGGGAATTAGCATTCTGATTACTGTTGCCTTCTCGAGCTGATTTACTTGACCGACTTTCGTCTATTTATTTGGAATTCAATTTCAACCCTTTCTTATCTGAAGACATTTTGAAGGCAGGTCAGAATTGATCATTGTTTGGTGCCGATATAAGACAAATTAGTCAAGGCAGCTTGAACAATCAATTGTTAGATGTAACAAAACTGCTCTTATCAGGGCAAATCTTTGAGTGATTGACTGCATGTTAGGATTTATGGAGCAGTCTTTCTTTTTTAAAAACTGATGAACGTTAAACAAAATAATAAAAAGTTTTAGAAAAAAGTGATTTCTTTTTAAAGAAAATCAGTTCGCCACTCGCAATGTCAATTGCAAGTATATCTTTCGCATTTGGCCAAAAATTTCCTGAAATTATGTTCGGAGGTTTTCTAAGACAGATTAAATATCCATTTGCGAGTTAATAGGACGAACTATAGTGCTCGTTGATTGTCCAAATTGGCAAAATTGGCCAAATCTTCAAACCCCCATACTATCTAAGAAAAACGACTGCAGATGAAATGTTTTTTTTTTAATTTCAGCTCAAGAGAACAATGCTTCTTAAATGATTTGAAAAGTTTCCGTCAAAAACTTCTAGTTGAAAATTTGAAATTTTCCTGGAGAAAAATCCACGCAGCACACAAACTTTTCGTCATTTTTTTTCGAAAGTCGGATTTATTATTCATACAAAACTTTTCTTGAAATCAAGAGCTAAACAACGACTTTAACAGAATGAGCTCGTGTTTTGTCAACTTTTGAAACCGAATCTTGACTAAGTAGATTGTACTAATATGAAATGAAACTTCTCGAAAGCATTGAATTGCCTGGAATTTGAAATGACTTTTTAGCTGTTATTTAGATTAGACCTCATTGCTATCATTTTGTGATAGAGCTGACAGTTTGATTTACACCCTTCTTCACCTTAAATTGGCAAAAGTTAAATGAATTTGAGCAGCAACCATTGCAGTTTGTTCTCACAAGGAAAAATTAAAACAATCAAAGGTGGGAAATAAAGCAGAAAATAGGGATAGCGCGAATAGGGAGTGTTCCTGTAGCGCAAAATAATTGAAACGTTTTATAATCTGTAAATTTTTTTGCAAAATCATTTGCAAAATTTGCAACATTTCTGCGTTACTCACGGCCTACTCGCAATCTAAACCTAATCAAATTAACCCCCTCCCCATTTTGCCCCCCATCCTCGTTTGCCCAAGCCCCCTCCCCCACTCCCCTACGTTTATCCCTACGCCCATTCCCATGTTTGCCAAAGTTTATCCCCAAACCCCCCCCCCCACAAGTTACAGTCCCCCCAGTTTGTTTACCATTTTCAATGGGGACGGGGGAGGGAGTATACTCAGTTGTTCAGGTTACCCTCCCGCCCACATTTTTCATGCCCCGCGGGTGTAAACGGTGGGGGGGGGGGGGGGGGGAGTTAAAACTAAGATGGGGGGGGGGGGTTAAATTTAATTTGAGGAGGGGTATTCTGTGGGGGGGGGGATTAAACAGGGAGGAAAACGGGGGGGGGGGGGGGTAAACTGTAAAAGGGTGTAAACAGGGAGGAAAAAAAAGGGGGGTAAACGGGGTATAGATGACAA